TTGTTGCTACTTTTTTTTATTGCTCATATGAGGATATGAACATGTATCAGTAACTCATTGTGATATTGCAATTACTTTGGTTATTCATTTGATTGATTTTACTGTCAAGATGAAAATTCAATTGATCTGGTCACATTCAACTGACCAACAGTAAGTAAACTGGACAATTATTTCACCAGCATTTATATTTGTTCCCATGTACCTGAGCATGAAAAAAAAAGATTCTGATCGAAAAAAAAAAATTTTCTCTTTTATCATTCCATTATTTTCTTCCTCTCATTATAATTATATTCTAAATTCTGAGATTAACCAGAACTTTATCATTATAAGTAAATGTTTTTCTTTACCGACTAAACTTTTCCACCCACAGATAAATTTATTTAATAGACAGATCGAGTTTGATAACAATTACAATTGTTGCAAAAAACATGCAATCATTTAATAGACATGATGATGATGACAGTCAATTTAATACCCTGAGGATACAATGATACCCTGTAACCATCTTATCCCTTAATTGTTACATGTAAATTGAAGTTGAAAATTCAATTGAAAAAGTTTGATAGTATTTACTTTAAAATCTTGATGATGATATTTCAAAGTCAATGATAGTAACATTTACTTACTAATATAATCATCATCATCATCATCATCATCATCATTATAATCACCCTAACAAGCAACTCAACTCCCATTACACCCACAATTGCAACAGTCTTTTCTTGTCATCCTAATCATTATTTTCATCCTCATCATGACATCAAATGATAATATCATCATCAACTTCAACCTAGGGACTAATACATATACACTTTGAAACCAAAGATGAAGTATAAAAAAAAAGATACCAAGGTAATACACTATGTAGTATGTTAATTTCAATATGTTGCTTTAATTATTAATACATGGGCAGAACGGTGTAAACTATTAAGCAGCAACAAGATGAGCCCAGGGAATTGAGTAAAAGTTAATTGCAATGGAGATTAATGGATTATCAGGTTAATTTGTCTAGAAGAAGGTACAACTCACCCGACAAATGAATGTAAAAAAAAAACTCATGGAAAGATGTATCATCATCATGGTAACTAATAGATTGTGAGTGTAAAAGTTTTCTCTACCAGGTAACAATGTGTAATTTAAATTTGGAGCTAAAAATGTTGAAAGGATAAGGAAAAGGAAATGATGATGATTATAAGGAGAGCTATGAAGATGATAAATAAATCATAGTGACTGCTATTATGGGAGGGAGAGACATTAACCTTTACTAGGACACGTGAAGAAAAAAACTGTCAACGGTAATGATAGAGGATGAAAAGGTAAATAAGGATTAAAGATGAAAATGAGGAGAATGAAATGAAACAAGGAGATGAGGGATAAACATGATGATAATGATGAAAAGAAACAAGGAAACTCTTTGATTGATCAAATCTTTTCGTGTTAACCATAGATTTGCTCTCTCTCTCTCTCTCTCTCAAGCGACATAACAAATTGTTCAGCGACATTTTATTCATCCCATGAGAGATGAAAGATATTTGCTCAAGATACTGAGATTAAATGATAAAGATGATGAACATTGATTACCAGTGAATAGAACTGAATGGAAAGAGAAAAAAATTAACTTCAGAATAAATCAAAGTACTTTTTCTGATTCAATTGGAAATTCAATATTAATTTGGTTATTACTTTCTCCAAACTTGATTAAAAGTTCAGTCTTGTTCAATTCTCGATAATTGATCAAACTTATTATCATGTTAATCTGATGATAAAGTTGTTTCAATGAATTCCAGTTGATTTTTATTCATTGTAATATTTGATTAATCGTTTCTATCCTGACTTTGAAACTTTGTAATTTTCATCTCTATCATGATGAAAACTATACACAATCATTACTACTACGATGATAATGAATAATTAAATGAACAATTATCTCAATCCATAGAATTGAATTAGAGGTTATCATCGGTTTGGATATTAAATTGATGATGGTAAAAGTTTTTACAATCAATTGGAGAGTTGATTTCAAGTTTTATCTGATAATTTAATTCAATGTTTGGGTGAAAATAAAAGTTCTGGATTGTTGATAAATTTTTTACACCCAAATGAAAGATAATCAGTCCTCTGATTGTGAGAAAATTTTTATCTGACAGTTGAATTCATTTACCACTCACAGAATTTTTCATTTTCATCATTAAAGCTCATTTATCACTTTTCATTGTGACTTTTGGTAAATTTTTAAGTATTCTGAAAGTTCAGAGAGAGAGAGAGAGAGAGAGAGAGAGAGAGAGAGAGAGAGAGAGACTTGAGTAAGAATGATGATGATGATGATGATGATAAGAGGAAGTTTGATGGTGATGGAATCAATGAAAAAGTAGATGTAACGATTTTCCCTGGAAATCTACCCCACCCACTGAAATATTATTGATTATAACTAAAGGTGATCACTTGAAATGAAAAGGTAAGAAAATGAATAGACAATTATTATCTCTCTTTTAGATTATATTAAATTGCAATCAATTGATGAGCCAACCATCAGTAAGGGATTGAATTGGAATCCGTTTTTATCCATCATCTTTTTTTTCATCATCATTGATTAGTTTTCTGCCTCTCTTGAACAACTTGAACTTTTTCTAGAGAGAGAGAGAGAGAGAGAGAGAGAGAGAAACGATGATGATGATGATGATGACTGGAGAAGACAAAGATGATAAAAAGAAGGAGGGAAGATGAGGATGGAAAAAGTTGTTCACTGGTTAGATCATCAATTGATGTTTAATCATCATGCAGCTTATAACAACTACTCTTGTGTAAAGTATTTCTCTTCATTTTCATCCCTCGTCATCATCATCTTCTTCTTCTTCTTTTTCTGTCTATTATTTTGTCTGACAAGAAGAGATAAAAACGAAAGAGATGAGAAGAGAAAAAATCGACCGAAAAAACCATCAAAATGAATGAAGATGAAACAAGAGACCAGATAAAATTCATTGGTAACCTGAATATTAACCTTTTATTTCAGATTCCATCATGATAGTTTCATCTTGCATCTCTCTCTCTCTCTCTCTCTCTCTCTCTCTCTCTCTCTCTCTCTTCATCTCGCTTAACCAACATTTCTTCTCCCTTATCGCTCACTCATCATTATGGTTTACCTTTATTCAATTAATTAAAAGCCACAAATTGTCATCGCCTCAAGCATTTGAAATGGTTTCATGTGACTGAAATGTTATCTTATTATTGTTATTTCATCGGCTTTTTGCATGAGGATGATAATTTCACCACAGGATCAAAATTACAAGTTGAACATGAAGATGAGGATGAGGATGCAGATGAGAAAAAAACAAAATGCAATCAACTAGAGGAAAATATTAATAACAAAATCGCTGAACAATCAAGCATAAGTAATTGAGCTCAAGGTTAGAAACTATTACAAGATGTTGATCATGATTGTAAACGATGTTGATGAGTGTAAACAAATGGTTATAGCATTTGCTTTTATGGTGAATTTGAGTTTGTATGTAAAACAATAGGATGAAGATGTTGAAACAATAAAAAATGATCATTTAAGGTAAGACGATGCTATGGAAATGTAATGAATGAATTGTAATTGTTTCTTATTAAATATCATGTTGAGATTGTTGTTTGAAATGCATATCATTGTGATGAGAAAAACTTTTTCTATTACTCGAAGAGAGAGAATATAAAAAAAGAGATAAAATGATGACGAAGATGAAGATGGAGAGGAAAATATACCTTTACAAGGTTAACTTGATTCGTTTCAAGTTTATTGATGATAACAATGAAAATCACCTTTTCGCCTCATCAGAGAGAGTAAATAAAAAGTTCATTTAGAGAGGAGAAAATTTTTTCTCTTTGTTTTTCATCATCATCATTGTCATTATGATGAACTGAAATTACCTGAATTTTGGGCGTCGCTGGTTCATTCAGTGTCTCTCTCTCTCTCTCTCTTTCATGGCCTACACTTATCATCATCTTCAATATAAATATGATGCTTTTTGGGTGAGGTTGTGAGTTACATGGGTTCATATTTGATGTGGTTTTGTTCAAAATGAGACAGAAGGTTTCTCTTTTGTGATGATGATGATGATGATGATGGATGAAAAGGAAAGGGCGTAAATAGACATGGAAAGGAAATGGAAACAGGTTAAGGCCTGAAGCCTTTTTTTTGTTCATCTTGGAGATTATCTGGTTTAGGATCAAGATGATGCTGATCAACCTCATGGTTTAATAATGAACAAGAGTTAATAATATTTGCTAAGGTTTGCTCATTTCTTTTTGTTTCTCTTACTTCATCATCATCATCTTCTTCTTCTTCATGGTCAATATAATCATAATAAGGTTGATGATGATGGAACAAGAAGAAGATGCGAAAGCATCTGATTTGATGAAATTATTGTAAATAATAAGGATGAATGCAACAAGATGATGATGAGGTTGATAAGAGTTCAGATGATTGAGTTTGAAATGAATGAGAGGGATGGTGGTTGTGGTGGAAGATGAGAATCTAATAAAATCGTAATTAGATGATCCAATTTGAGGTAAATTTTCTGGCAATAAGATGATAGTCAATTTAGAGAGAGAGAGAGACATGAACACTAAAAGACTGAATGATGAGGATGATAATAAGATGATGATAAAGGTAAAAAGATATCACATTTGTTTCCAATGTGATGAACATTATATTGAGTTAAATTGTAATCAATTGTATCTTTGATTGTAATAATATATCAACTTCTAACCCTTTACCGAATCAAATCATCTTGAGAAAATTGAACATGATGAGAATCAGAACTTTTGTTTTTCTTAAATATCATTTGAAATGCTAAACTTTGCTCAACTCTGATAACTTTTTTTCTTCTCCTTTTTTAATATCAATTCATCGAGATAAAAATTTTCCATGATAATTAAAAAGAAAATCAAGATAAACTTGAAACAATTTTCGAAGCAAAAAAAAGAGAGATGAGAATAATCATTTTATAAATACTACGTACCAGAAGATTGTTGTCATTTAAAGTCAATCCTTAATCCGATTGTCAAAGTATGTGTAAGGTTAATCAGCTATTGGGCAATTGAGTAAACAAAATACTATCACAAAGATTGAGAGAGGGAGAGAGAGAGAGAGAGTAACTTGAAAAAAGACATTGGGTGTAAAAGTGACTTGAATGAAAAATGATGTTGGTGGGAGGAGGAGGAGGAGAGTGGAAACACTGAGTGATCATAGTGAGAGGAGGCGTTTGTGGAGGAAAGAGGTGGTGGTGGTGATGATGATGATGGAACAAGGCAAGAAGTGATTATTAGTTTCACTCTATTAAGTTTCCAAACTAATATTGTTTAACGATGAGATGAGGATAATAATGAAACCATTTACTGTTATATTTGATTAGAAAACAAATTAATTTAATCTTCTTGATTGTTATCCAACTGTTTCATATTATTATTAATATAAAACATTTTCTTGCTTCTCTTCATCGACTCCCATAACTCATTAAATGGATCACCATCATTATTATTAATCATTTACGTTAATTGTTTGTTTTGAATATACAAACGATAAATGAATTGAAACAATTGTTGCTTCCTGATGATCAACTTGATTGATTTGTTGTTGTTGTTTGTTTGTTTTTGTTGTATGAACATCATTTTGATTATTGTGTTTGAATCCTTTACGAGGTTTGATAAATCATTTGTTGTTGTTGATGTTGTTGTTTAACCCTTTGGTGACACTGGGTGATGATAATTGGGATGTTGATAACGATAATAATGATAGTTATTATTATTATTATGGTTGTAACAAATTGTTACATAACAATAATGATAATGTTGATGGTGATGTTATTAATACAAGGAAAGGAAAAACGTTGACTCGTTGGCTACTCGAGACATATGAACATGAATGGAAACTGGATTTAGCTTGGAAAAAAATGTCTGTGTCTGTGAGACCAGGAGAGAGTAAGTGAGTGAGAGAGAGAGAGAGAGTGGGAGAGAGAAAAGTTGCTGAGGGAGACAAAGATGATGAGAGAAAGAGAAAAACGAAAGACTAATATTAAATTCTCAATATATTTTTTTTTTGCGTAACCGGCTTTGTATTTAATAAATATTGACGGGATGATGAAAGAGACGAGTGAGAAGGAGAGTAAGAGCGGGAGAGAGAAAGAGAGTAGTAGTTGATGAGAAAAGGGAAAGAAAAAAGGGAGGAGAAAGAAATGCTGAATGAGAGAGAGAGATGATGATGATGAGGGAAAGTAAATGATGATGGAAGAATAGATGTAAAGGTGTATTGTTACTCGGAAGAACCGGTTACCTGCGCAAATTGTTCCCTCTCTTTATCTTACATAATTTTCTCACTCTTTCTTTTTTTTTCTTTTTTCTATCATCCTCATCATCATCATCTTCTTTTCCTCTGTGTGTGTTAATAAAAATGTAAGACGTGAGTTAAGAAGTTACCAAGAAAATTGAGTGAAGGTGAAGGTTGGCCTCCCACGCTCCTATGTGTTAGTCAGACAGATGATGATGATGATAATCGAAGGGGAGAGAGGACCGAGGGAGAAGGATGCAAAAAGAAATGATTTTTTGAAAGAGAATAAGATGATAATGATGATGATGGAAGATGAAAAAAATTTTCAAGAGAAAGTGAGACAGGTAAAAAAGGGTATATCGTGAGAAGATGATGATAATTTAGCTCACTCAGGTTGTGGAAGAGAAAAGGAGAGAGAGAGAGAGAGAGAGATGATAAATCTAGTGAATTAGTGAGCTGTAAAAATTCATTGTTCTATTGTTATTTTATCTTCTCATTTTATTTTCTTCATGGAAAAATCCTCACTCAAATTCATGAGGAATCCACATTACGAAATATGTATCAAACTTTTCAACAATTTAGTTAATCATTTGCTTTGGTATTAGTTTTAAATTGTTTACTCTCACCAAAGCCTTAATTGTAATCGTTTCATATTTCAGTATGATGTAAATTGTCATGAATTAATTTGCTTTATTTATGAATCAATATTATTTATTCATTTATACAAATACTAATGATAATTTAAATTGTTGAGTAATCACATTGATTGATAACATTGTTACTCTTGTTGGGAATCAAATTGTGTACAATAAAAAAAAATCAATGATTAATTTTGAGCTGGTTAATTGTTGATCATATCAGAACGAGATTAATGTCATTAAGTTAACCATTATGAAAACTGTTCAATTTTGATGGTCAATAAGAAGTCAATTGACCAGCAACTAATCAATTTGATCCTTGTGATAAATAATAATTTATCATCAGCTCTTTTTATAGTTAATCAGTTAAATGAAGATTATTATTATTATCAGGAATTAGAGTAAAGGTAAAAATCTGTTTAAATGATTAGTGATTAGTAATTAGATTTCTGTCTGATGATGATATTATATTGTAATTTTAATCTCATTATCATTTGGTAGACATTTTGTATAAATGATTAAGATGAAGATGAAGATGAAGATGATAGAGGGATAATGATGTGAATACAATGAACATAATGATGATAAAAGCTCATTAGATATTCAAGTTGAAAAGGTAAGTTAACCTCAAGTTGACCACAATGGATGAAGGAGATGAGATGAAGAAGAAAAAGGAAAAAGAGGAGGAAGGAAGATGATGATGATGATGATGAGAGAGAAGGATAAATGTAAAGGAGAGAAAGAGAAACAAGAGAGTTGGATGATGATGATGATGATTATTGAGAAGTAAAAATTGCATCAAATTACCAAAGTCATGGGAAGTTGATTCTAAATGATGATTATCATCATGTTGTCGATTCCAAAGCAAGACGATGAGGCTGATTCTCGTTAACTCTCAACGATCATCATCCTCATCTTTTGTTTTCTCTCCTCTATTAATAATAATGGAGAAGAAAAAAAAAATCTTCTAACCTGCTCGTTAATCTATTCAATTAATTAGGTTTTTCTTCTAGAGAAAAAAAAATTCTACAAAATGATTATCATAGACTCTTCAGCTCTTCATTCAGTACGTCATGAAGATAATGATTATCGTTCTGGTTATAAATGGTTATTAAAACTTGGTAATGGTGGATTAGTATATGATCAGGGTGGGTTATTAAAGAGGAAAATTTTCTGGTTTCAATTCTGTTTTTTTGCTTCTCTTCATCAAACAACTAAAATGGTTTCATGAATATCATATATTGACACAGGCAACTCATGGTAATAAAAGTAGTCATTGATGATAATGGATGATGAGAGAGAGAGAGGGAGTAAGGGGTTTAAGAGGAGGAGAAAGTGATATGTTGCATGATGAGAGAGTAAAAGATGATAATGAATCGATTTTATTGTCCACCACCAAGAATTAAAGTAATGAAAAAAATATACTCATCAAAGTCTCTTTTATATGATGTTCATCATCCTCCTTATTATCATCATCATCATCATCGTCATCTATTTCATTTCAATAGGAAATAATAGTTTTCTTTTATATCATCCACCCACATTATCCTCTTCCCTCTTTATTTCTGGTGTCATGATAATAACATGTTTGAATTAACATCCAAGTTATTCCCCCTTTACTATCATTAAATATTGAGTAACTTGTTATGATGATGAAGAAAAAAAATATCACATGATGAAGGAATCTTGTTAGTTTTATCACCATCATCATTCAATGATGTTAAAGTTCAGAATGATGATGATGAGGGATTAAGGAGTAGCATCTATTTTTAGGTGATATTGAAAAAAAAGAGAGAAAATTTTTCAATCAATAAAAGATCAATCAAATTCATGAATGAAAGTTGAATCATTCACTTTTTTTTCATCCATTCTTGGTGTAATCTTGTTGTTACCATGATGATGAAAAAAAATATATAACAAACTTTATCGTCCTCATCATGTTTCACTCACATCTTACTAGAATCCTACACTTAGATAAATTATCAACATTCAAATATCATTAATTGGATAAACATCACAATATAATTGGACACAATTATTGACCACCACTTATTAAGATCAATTATCATCCACAAATTAATCTTATCACTAATTAACAGTTAATCTTAATCTTAATCCTTCACATTGAATTGATTCTTTTAAATGATAATTTTGTGATGATGAGTAAAATTCATCCAAATGAATTTATCTCTCAATCATTTTCATCCTGGTGAAAAATTAGAATTAATTTCGAGTTGATTTTCATGATGATGATAGAAAAAATTTCTTTCCAATTACTTTTGATTCTTTAAAGTTGATTGAAGTTTTATATTCATGATGTTTGCCCATTTATAATAATGGTGGAAACAACAACTCGGAGTAAATTTAAATTTCCTGTTAATCAGGTGAGTGTAACAATTTAACAAACAATCAATAATAACTGTAATCAGTGAAGCTACATAAAGTTCAATTAGTGTGTAAATATGATTACAGTTATTATGATTACTATTACTTTTGGATGATAAAATTTGAGGATGAAAAAAGTTTTCTCTCAATCTTTCATATTTTTCACTCCCAGTGAATGCTGAGAAACAAGGTGAGGGTGGGAAGTTGTTGGTGTTAAGCTCAAGTGAAACTTTGATGTTATTATAACCATTGAATAATGTTGATAATGGTTTATCTTGTTCACAGATTGATATATATGGTAAATTGAGTTGGTGGAAAAATGAAAAAGGACGAAGAAGATAAAAGATGAGAAGGTGAGAAGGAAGAGAAAGAGAGAGAAGAGAGAAGAGCGAGAGAGAGAGAGAGAGAAGAGAAGATTTAGATTGGAAAATTTTTAAATCATCCAATAAATTTTCTCATCCTTCCTTATCCTCTCTCGCTCTCTCAATCTTTCTACTCCTCTGATTTTTCCATGTGATCATTTTCATGTATCTCTTTTGGATTATTTGTTGAAATATAATTTGCTGATTTTGCATCTTAATCCTAATCCAAATCTTTACCTTTGTTTATTTGTTTGTTTTTGGTTCTTGCGATAAATTGAACTGAGTAAACAAAAAACCATAGGTGACAAATTGATCAATGTGATTTTATGATTAGATTGAAGTAAAAGAAATGATATATTATTATAATTCTAACAATCTATTGTTATAAGAGAACTAATGTTTTCAAATATGAATAGATTTTCTCAGGTAAATATGAATGAATTATCATGAAAATTTAAATTGGAATTGAATATTTGAAGAAAAACCTTGTTCTATCTTTTATCGTATCATATTATTACAATTCGATGAGATTTCAGTTATAGCCCATGACCCAGAAGATTCAGCTCAATCAAAGTGAACAATGATAATCGAGTTCGCTTTTCATCATGAAAATTCAATGAAATACTTTGAATTCAATGAGAGCAACACTGGTTATTCATTTAAATATTCATGAATTTCAATTCAATCTCAATAAGTATCAGTATCGCTTAATTGTCTGGACGAATGGAAGAACATCTTATATTAGCAGTTTAGTGAGAAATAAATTTAAAAGAATTGCAAATCAACGAGAGAGAACTTATCTAACAATAACAACAGGTCATCATGAACTGAATGATTAAATAGACATTGTCCATTTTGGGTCAATGTTGATAACGAAAAATAAATCTAACGTAATATCAACATGGTAACTTTGGTCTGGAAATATCACCGACCGAAAAAAAGTGATGATAATGTTTACCATTATCATTACCCTTCATATGATATGATTATTGATAAATTGTTGCAGTTCATTTGGTTAAATGGCCTAGAAAATAATTGAGTAATATTTACACACAGAAATTAAAACAAATGTGGCAATTTATCATGAAATTAACAAAGATATGAGTGAGAATCATGTTGAACAAATTGAAAAGCTTATAACTTAATATTCATCATCATCAAAGTCATAATAATATTAATCTGATGATATCAATTTAATTAATCAGAAAAAAATTCATCAGAATCCACTTATTCCAATCACCTAACAAATATTCAACTCATTATGATAATCCTAGCTGTGAATTCAATCATAACTCATTATCCAAGATGATAATACTTACGAAACCTTTAAAATTTTCACGCTTAAATGTACATGAATTTCTGAGAAACAATTAGAAATTATCTATCGAATCAATTAATTAAAACAAATTGCCTCAAATTGAGCAAATTTTCCCGCTACAATCTAATGCT